AGACCGTGCACCACTGTACCCCAAGACAGAGTCTGTGCACCACTGTACCCCAAGACAGAGACCGTGCACCACTGTACCTCAAGACAGAGACCGTGCACCACTGTACCCCAAGACAGAATCCGTGCACCACTGTACCGCAAGACAGAGGCCGTGCACCACTGTACCCCATGGCAGAGACCGTGCACCACTGTACCTCAAGACAGAGACCGTGCACCACTGTACCCCAAGACAGAGTCTGTGCACCACTGTACCTCAAGGCAGAGACCGTGCACCACTGTACCCCAAGACAGAGCCCGTGCACCACTGTACCTCAAGGCAGAGACCGTGCACCACTGTACCCCAAGACAGAGTCTGTGCACCACTGTACCCTAAGACAGAGTCTGTGCACCACTGTACCCCAAGACAGAGTCTATGCACCACTGTACCCCAAGACAGAGACCGTACACCACTGTACCTCAAGACAGAGTCCGTGCACCACTGTACCCCAAGACAGAGTCTGTGCACCACTGTACCTCAAGGCAGAGACCGTGCACCACTGTACCCCAAGACAGAGCCCGTGCACCACTGTACCTCAAGGCAGAGACCGTGCACCACTGTACCTCAAGGCAGAGTCCGTGCACCACTGTACCCCAAGACAGTCTGTGCACCACTGTACCTCAAGGCAGAGACCGTGCACCACTGTACCCCAAGACAGAGCCCGTGCACCACTGTACCCCAAGTCAGAGCCCGTGCACCACTGTACCCCAAGACAGAGCCCGTGCACCACTGTACCCCAAGGCAGAGCCCGTGCACCACTGTACCTCAAGGCAGAGCCCGTGCACCACTGTACCCCAAGGCAGAGCCCGTGCACCACTGTACCCCAAGGCAGAGCCCGTGCACCACTGTACCCCAAGGCAGAGCCCGTGCACCACTGTACCCCAAGACAGAGCCCGTGCACCACTGTACCCCAAGACAGAGCCCGTGCACCACTGTACCCCAAGACAGAGCCCGTGCACCACTGTACCCCAAGACAGAGCCCGTGCACCACTGTACCCCAAGGCAGAGACCGTGCACCACTGTACCCCAAGGCAGAGACCGTGCACCACTGTACCCCAAGGCAGAGCCCGTGCACCACTGTACCCCAAGGCAGAGCCCGTGCACCACTGTACCCCAAGGCAGAGCCCGTGCACCACTGTACCCCAAGACAGAGCCCGTGCACCACTGTACCCCAAGACAGAGCCCGTGCACCACTGTACCCCAAGACAGAGCCCGTGCACCACTGTACCCCAAGGCAGAGCCCGTGCACCACTGTACCCCAAGGCAGAGCCCGTGCACCACTGTACCCCAAGACAGAGCCCGTGCACCACTGTACCCCAAGGCAGAGCCCGTGCACCACTGTACCCCAAGACAGAGCCCGTGCACCACTGTACCCCAAGGCAGAGCCCGTGCACCACTGTACCCCAAGGCAGAGCCCGTGCACCACTGTACCCCAAGGCAGAGCCCGTGCACCACTGTACCCCAAGGCAGAGCCCGTGCACCACTGTACCCCAAGACAGAGCCCGTGCACCACTGTACCCCAAGGCAGAGCCCGTGCACCACTGTACCCCAAGGCAGAGCCCGTGCACCACTGTACCCCAAGGCAGAGCCCGTGCACCACTGTACCCCAAGGCAGAGCCCGTGCACCACTGTACCCCAAGGCAGAGCCCGTGCACCACTGTACCCCAAGACAGAGCCCGTGCACCACTGTACCCCAAGGCAGAGCCCGTGCACCACTGTACCCCAAGGCAGAGCCCGTGCACCACTGTACCCCAAGGCAGAGCCCGTGCACCACTGTACCCCAAGGCAGAGCCCGTGCACCACTGTACCCCAAGGCAGAGCCCGTGCACCACTGTACCCCAAGACAGAGCCCGTGCACCACTGTACCCCAAGACAGAGCCCGTGCACAACTGTACCCCAAGGCAGAGCCCGTGCACCACTGTACCCCAAGACAGAGGCCGTGCACCACTGTACCCCAAGACAGAGCCCGTGCACCACTGTACCCCAAGACAGAGCCCGTGCACCACTGTACCCCAAGGCAGAGCCCGTGCACCACTGTACCCCAAGGCAGAGCCCGTGCACCACTGTACCCCAAGACAGAGCCCGTGCACCACTGTACCCCAAGGCAGAGCCCGTGCACCACTGTACCCCAAGGCAGAGCCCGTGCACCACTGTACCCCAAGACAGAGCCCGTGCACCACTGTACCCCAAGACAGAGCCCGTGCACCACTGTACCCCAAGACAGAGCCCGTGCACCACTGTACCCCAAGGCAGAGCCCGTGCACCACTGTACCCCAAGACAGAGCCCGTGCACCACTGTACCCCAAGGCAGAGCCCGTGCACCACTGTACCCCAAGGCAGAGCCCGTGCACCACTGTACCCCAAGGCAGAGCCCGTGCACCACTGTACCCCAAGGCAGAGCCCGTGCACCACTGTACCCCAAGACAGAGCCCGTGCACCACTGTACCCCAAGGCAGAGCCCGTGCACCACTGTACCCCAAGGCAGAGCCCGTGCACCACTGTACCCCAAGACAGAGCCCGTGCACCACTGTACCCCAAGGCAGAGCCCGTGCACCACTGTACCCCAAGACAGAGCCCGTGCACCACTGTACCCCAAGGCAGAGCCCGTGCACCACTGTACCCCAAGACAGAGCCCGTGCACCACTGTACCCCAAGGCAGAGCCCGTGCACCACTGTACCCCAAGGCAGAGCCCGTGCACCACTGTACCCCAAGGCAGAGCCCGTGCACCACTGTACCCCAAGGCAGAGCCCGTGCACCACTGTACCCCAAGACAGAGCCCGTGCACCACTGTACCCCAAGGCAGAGCCCGTGCACCACTGTACCCCAAGACAGAGCCCGTGCACCACTGTACCCCAAGGCAGAGCCCGTGCACCACTGTACCCCAAGGCAGAGCCCGTGCACCACTGTACCTCAAGACAGAGCCCGTGCACCACTGTACCCCAAGGCAGAGCCCGTGCACCACCGTACCCCAAGGCAGAGCCCGTGCACCACTGTACCCCAAGACAGAGCCCGTGCACCACTGTACCCCAAGACAGAGCCCGTGCACCACTGTACCCCAAGGCAGAGCCCGTGTTGGTGTGAGGAATTTCTCCCAGCAGGAATTTATTGATTTAATATAATTTATTTAATTTAATATTTAATTTTATTATTAATTCAAACGGGAGTGTATGATATCAAAGCTGACTGTACACTTAAAGATTATCTTGTTGGTTATCTTCTTTCACAACTTTAATGGAGGAGGTTAATACATAGAGCCTTTCAATTAATCAATTAATAGAAATCTGCTTTGATTATTAGTCTACTAATTATTAAAGGATTAGTTAAAGAGGAGAATAGAGCTTAGCTGTAATGTAGTATATAGCGGGGTACCAGGCAAGAGAGAGACTCCTCCGTCACGTGGGCTGATACGCCTGGTCAAGGCCTTAATGGCGACACGAGATGCCTGGGGCCTGATTCACGAAAGCACTTACGCAAGCACTTACGAACTTGTACATCTTTTCGCAATCTTTGGCGGCTTTGTTTACAATAATTGAACAGTTAATGAGCTCGGAAGCACCAGGAGGCTGTTTATAACAATAACAACAATTGATTGGGAAGTTTTCATGCTTGTAAACTCTTTAATAAATGTAACCAAAGCCGTCAAAGATTGAGGAAAGACGTTCGTAAGCGCTTTCGTGAATCTGGCCCCTTGTGTTGCGCCAGGTTAAGATGTTGTTTCCCTTCTCCTTGTTTCCATCTGTCGAATAATGACAAAGTAATAACCTGCTACTAATGTAGCCGACATATAACAAGGAAAGACGAATATGTTTGCTGAAGTAATTCTTACCCGGTCAATTTATTAGTTTAAGTGATCGCTATCCTTATCTATCAACCGGAAATAATTCGCTTCCTCTGATAAGCGAAGTGCGTGGTCGATAACAGGAGTCGTTGGGGCTCCACCACGCTGTAATTTCGCTGAAAGATTAGATAACTCGCACTTGCGTGTTCGTGGCTAAGCTGGGACCAGATTCACGAAGCAGTTACGCAAGCACTTACGAACCTGTCCATCTCTTCTCAATCTTTGGCGGGCTTTGTTTACAATTATTAAACAGTTAATGAGCTCCAAAGGACCAGGAGGCTGTTTATAACAATAACAACAATTGACTGGGAAGTTTTCATGCTTGTAAACTGTTTAATAAATGTAACCAAAGCCGTCTAAGATTGAGGAAAGATGTACACGTTCGTAAGTACTTGCGTAACAGCTTCGTGAATCTAGCCTGGTCTCTAATATAGCGTCTCTTCTCCCTCCCGGGTGAGAAATGCGTCTCTCCTCTGATGCGGTCTGGGACCATTTATGACTAAGGGGTAGAAAGAGCTTATTTTATTTACTTGTCAATTATATCCAGTCATGGGTAACACTTTTTTATTTCATTTAATCCCCAGACTGGCATTTTAAAGATAAGTGTTATGGATAAATAACTCTTCCAGTGACGTGGCGAATGTCCCATTTTCTCTAAGAAGCCGCAAAACCCATTTTCTTCTAATGATCCTCTTGAGGAAAATAATGATTTGTAGGGTTAGTAATTTGCCTAAACAACATTTGCTTGGTGTGTTAGAGGTTAGTATTTATCGTCAGAAATTTCCAACACCTCTTGGTGTTGGAAATACCTCATACCTGCTAAGAACTGGAGAAATATATATATATAAATGAGGCCTAAGATGACTTCTCAGGCCTGTGTATTATGCAGACCCAGCCTAGCCGAAGTGCTCACTACAACGGTGCTTGTATCGGCACTGTATGCCCTGAGGGGCTCTCTCATTGGTCGACGTCCAATCAGTTTTGATGTATTTAGTTTGACGGCTGACACAAATACATTTTTGTATTAAATATAATTATTGGTGTATATATACATGTCAGCAGGTTCAATAAACTGCATTTTCTGTTAATTAAAATTTTAAAACGTATTTGATCTCGTCTATACAGAAAGGTGTGCCAAGACCGACTCTCCCTGTGGCAGCGAGATCTCCCTTCACTCGGCCAAGTCGGCAGCCTCGGCCAAATCGGCAGCCTCGGCCAAGTCCAACGCCTCGGCTAAGTCCAATCAGTCTGCCAGGTCTAACGCTTCGACACGGTCTAACCGGTCGGCCAAGTCTAGTGCCTCGGCCAAGTCTGTCGGCTCGGCCAACTCTGATTCCTCGGCCAAATCGAAGGAGCCGATGGCCATATCCATGCGTAAGTCACCAGTTGGGGCTCCGGGCTCAAACAGGCAGCCGGTGAGGAGTGCCACAGCCAAGAGCACCAAGGCCAGATCACCAGTGCCGACCCATGGTGCCAGTGGGGGCCACGCCACGCCCTCACACACGCCCACCCGACGCCGCAGCGCCGTCTCCACGGGGTCCTCCGCCTCCAGCGCCGACACTCCTCTTAACAATGGGTGAGTCTACCCCTCCTCCTCCTCCTCCTCTAAGATGGGCGAGTCTCTCTCTCCCTCCTAGTACACCTAGTGACCAGTCTAGTACACCTAGTGACCAGTCTGGTACACCTAGTGACCAGTCTAGTACACCTAGTGACCAGTCTAGCACACCTAGTGACCAGTCTAGTACACGTAGTGACCAGTCCAGTACACCTAGTGACCAGTCCAGTACACCTAGTGACCAGTCCAGTACACCTAGTGACCAGTCTAGTACACCTAGTGACCAGTCCAGTACACCTAGTGACCAGTCTGGTACACCTAGTGACCAGTCTAGTACACCTAGTGACCAGTCCAGTACACCTAGTGACCAGTCCAGTACACCTAGTGACCAGTCCAGTACACCTAGTGACCAGTCCAGTACACCTAGTGACCAGTCCAGTACACCTAGTGACCAGTCCAGTACACCTAGTGACCAGTCCAGTACACCTAGTGACCAGTCCAGTACACCTAGTGACCAGTCTAGTACACCTAGTGACCAGTCTAGTACACCTAGTGACCAGTCTAGTACACCTAGTGACCAGTCTAGTACACCTAGTGACCAGTCTAGTACACGTAGTGACCAGTCCAGTACACCTAGTGACCAGTCCAGTACACCTAGTGACCAGTCTAGTACACCTAGTGACCAGTCCAGTACACCTAGTGACCAGTCTGGTACACCTAGTGACCAGTCTAGTACACCTAGTGACCAGTCCAGTACACCTAGTGACCAGTCCAGTACACCTAGTGACCAGTCCAGTTCACCTAGTGACCAGTCCAGTACACCTAGTGACCAGTCCAGTACACCTAGTGACCAGTCCAGTACACCTAGTGACCAGTCCAGTACACCTAGTGACCAGTCCAGTACACCTAGTGACCAGTCCAGTACACCTAGTGACCAGTCTAGTACACCTAGTGACCAGTCTAGTACACCTAGTGACCAGTCTAGTACACCTAGTGACCAGTCTAGTACACCTAGTGACCAGTCCAGTACACCTAGTGACCAGTCCAGTACACGTAGTGACTAGTCTAGTACACCTAGTGAACAGTCTAGTACACCTAGTGACCAGTCTAGTACACCTAGTGACCAGTCCAGTACACCTAGTGACCAGTCCAGTACACCTAGTGACCAGTCCAGTACACGTAGTGACTAGTCTAGTACACCTAGTGAACAGTCTAGTACACCTAGTGACCAGTCTAGTACACCTAGTGACCAGTCCAGTACACGTAGTGACTAGTCTAGTACACCTAGTGAACAGTCTGGTACACCTAGTGACCAGTCTAGTACACCTAGTGACCAGTCCAGTACACCTAGTGACCAGTCCAGTACACCTAGTGACCAGTCTGGTACACCTAGTGACCAGTCTAGTACACCTAGTGACCAGTCCAGTACACCTAGTGACCAGTCTGGTACACCTAGTGACCAGTCTAGTACACCTAGTGACCAGTCTAGTACACCTAGTGACCAGTCTAGTACACCTAGTGACCAGTCTGGTACACCTAGTGACCAGTCCAGTACACCTAGTGACCAGTCCAGTACACCTAGTGACCAGTCTAGTACACGTAGTGACCAGTCTAGTACACCTAGTGACCAGTCCAGTACACCTAGTGACCAGTCTAGTACACCTAGTGACCAGTCTAGTACACCTAGTGACCAGTCTAGTACACGTAGTGACCAGTCTAGTACACGTAGTGACCAGTCTAGTACACCTAGTGACCAGTCCAGTACACCTAGTGACCAGTCTAGCACACCTAGTGACCAGTCTAGTACACGTAGTGACCAGTCTAGTACACCTAGTGACTAGTCTAGTACACCTAGTGACCAGTCTAGTACACCTAGTGGCCAGTCTAGTACACCTAGTGACCAGTCTAGTGCACGTAGTGACCAGTCTAGTACACCTAGTGACCAGTCTAGTACACCTAGTGACCAGTCTAGTACACCTAGTGACCAGTCTAGTACACCTAGTGACCAGTCTAGTACACCTAGTGACTAGTCTAGTACACCTAGTGATCAGTCTGGTACACCTAGTGACCAGTCCAGTACACCTAGTGACCAGTCCAGTACACCTAGTGACCAGTCTAGTACACCTAGTGACCAGTCTAGTACACCTAGTGACCAGTCCAGTACACCTAGTGACCAGTCTAGTACACCTAGTGACCAGTCCAGTACACGTAGTGACCAGTCCAGTACACGTAGTGACCAGTCCAGTACACCTAGTGACCAGTCCAGTACACCTAGTGACCAGTCTTGTACACCTAGTGACCAGTCTAGTACACCTAGTGACCAGTCCAGTACACCTAGTGATCAGTCTAGTACATGTGGTCTACATACTTACTCAAGCCGACTATACATGGTCTACAAACTACCCAAACAGGTACACATAATCTACAGACTCACCAATGGGCGCGGGGGAGTCGTCGTCTCCTGTAACAACTCCTTAATATCTTTTAGGTCCGGGTCTCGTAGTGCAGTTGTTGGCTTCCTTCTTAACTCATAATCTGTGAACCCAGGTTCCACTTCCGGCCAGTAGTAGTGTAAATTGAGACGTGGACCGTGCGTGAGCCCTGCAACAGGTGTGCAGTTGTACACCTGACGCAGGTAAATGCATGGTCTACGTCTCCTAGGGAACCCTAGGCGCACATGGAACTGTTAGGCTTTGGTATATTAAGTACATATATGTTATATGCAATATTATATTTTGTTTTCAAGGTACAAACTCTTCATACCAATGTACTACGCCCCAGTTTTAATATTAGGAATTTCTTTATCAATTTTATTTAACTAATGAGATTTTATACAAAATTTTGACAATATCCTGAGTTACTTTACAATTTATTTAAATATTTTAGTTTTGTTTTATAATTTGTATAAAACTGTAATATAAATATAGGTATAGGTTAAGTACTAATTGTAATTAAGAAGCAATAAGATGCTTATCTTATCATACTAAGAAGGTTAGGTTAGGTCGGTGGTTTTCTATTCAGAATTTCAAGGTAAACTCAAATATTCACAATAAATTAGTATTTCTCATATACACTTATTAATAAGCCAATATTGACTATAAGTAAGTGCGAGAACGGGTTGCAGGTGTCGCGAGGGGTGGCAGGATGTGTCTGGTGGGGTGGTTGTATGTCGCTGTGGGTAAATGAACATGTTCTATGAAAAATGTTCTATGTTCTATGGAAAGAAACATGTTCTATCAGTAAGTATAGGAACAGGTGAGGTGACCAGGTGATCAATAGTAGTAGTAGAGGAATATGTATGAGTAAATAACAGTATGTAGGAAGGATATGTTGAGGGGCATAGAGGAGGACCGCCAGTCCCATGGCGGGGTCGGGGTAGGAGACCGAGCAGTAAAGATGGGTGGTTAGGGGTAGGGCACGTGAAGGAGGTTAAGGGGAGAGGGGAAGGGAGGGTGCCCCGGGTGAAGGGAAGGAACCTCTGGTGCTGGTGGGCACCCCTGGTGCTGGTGGGCACCCCTGGTGCTGGTGTGTCCCCCTGGTGCTGGTGGGCACCCCTGGTGCTGGTGGGCACCCCTGGTGCAGGTGGGCCCCCTGGTGCTGGTGGATCCCCCCCTGGTGCTGGTGGCCCCCCTGGTGTTGGTGGGCCTCCCTGATGCTGGTGGGGCACCCCTGGTGCTGGTGGGCCCCCCTGGTGCTGGTGGGCCTCCCTGGTGCTGGTGGGGCACCCCTGGTGCTGGTGGGCCCCCCTGGTGCTGGTGGGCACTCCTGGTGCTGGTGGGTCCCCCCCTGGTGCTGGTGGCCCCCCTGGTGCTGGTGGGCCTCCCTGGTGCTGGTGGGGCACCCCTGGTGCTGGTGGGCCCCCCTGGTGCTGGTGGGCACTCCTGGTGGTGGTGGGGCACCCCTGGTGCTGGTGGGCCTCCCTGGTGCTGGTGGGGCACCCCTGGTGATGGTGGGCCTCCCTGGTGCTGGTGGGGCACCCCTGGTGCTGCTGGGCCTCCCTGGTGCTGGTGGGGCACCCCTGGTGCTGGTGGGCCTCCCTGGTGCTGGTGGGGCACCCCTGGTGCTGGTGGGCCCCCTGGTGCTGGTGGGGCACCCCTGGTGCTTGTGGGCCCCCTGGTGCTGGTGGGCCTCCCTGGTGCTGCTGGGCCTCCCTGGTGCTGGTGGGGCACCCCTGGTGCGGGTGGGCCCCCTGGTGCTGGTGGGGCACCCCTGGTGCTGGTGGGCACCCCTGGTGCTGGTGGCCCCCCTGGTGCTGCTGGGCCTCCCTGGTGCTGGTGGGGCACCCCTGGTGCTGGTGGGCCTCCCTGGTGCTGGTGGGGCACCCCTGGTGCTGGTGGGCACCCCTGGTGCTGGTGGGCCTCCCTGGTGCTGGTGGGTCCCCCCCTGGTGCTGGTGGCCCCCCTGGTGCTGGTGGGCACCCCTGGTGCTGGTGGGCCCCCCTGGTGCTGGTGGGCCTCCCTGGTGCTGGTGGGGCACCCCTGGTGATGGTGGGCCTCCCTGGTGCTGGTGGGGCACCCCTGGTGCTGCTGGGCCTCCCTGGTGCTGGTGGGGCACCCCTGGTGCTGGTGGGCACCCCTGGTGCTGGTGGGCCCCCTTGGTGCTGGTGGGCACTCCTGGTGCTGGTGGGGCACCCCTGGTGCTGGTGGGGCACCCCTGGTGCTGGTGGGCCTCCCTGGTGCTGGTGGGGCACCCCTGGTGATGGTGGGCCTCCCTGGTGCTGGTGGGGCACCCCTGGTGCTGCTGGGCCTCCCTGGTGCTGGTGGGGCACCCCTGGTGCTGGTGGGCCCCCTGGTGCTGGTGGGCCTCCCTGGTGCTGGTGGGTCCCCCCCTGGTGCTGGTGGGGCACCCCTGGTGCTGGTGGGCCTCCCTGGTGCTGGTGGGGCACCCCTGGTGCTGGTGGGCACCCCTGGTGCTGGTGGGCCTCCCTGGTGCTGGTGGGTCCCCCCCTGGTGCTGGTGGCCCCCCTGGTGCTGGTGGGCACCCCTGGTGCTGGTGGGCCTCCCTGGTGCTGGTGGGTCCCC